AGTGCTCTGGGGTGGACACGTCCCCGTAGGTTCTGTGGCGCTTTCGGGCACGCACGGCTCCTCACAAACCACGTTTTGGGATGTGCAGGGATCCACGCGTGTCACCGAGCACTGGTCGGGGCAGGGATCACCAGTGGTCACATCCTGAGGACAGCACGGTGTCCCCGTTGGGGGGACATCATCTCCCTTGCAGGTCTGGAGCGCCTCGAGGGTGCTGGGCTCCTCGGCTGGGACTGGGTCCTGCAAGGGCACGTTTTCCATGCAGGTCTCGCCTTTCCCAGAGACACAAGGCTCCACCACTGGGGTTTTATGCTGGAGGAGGAAGGTTTCCAAGCAGGTTTTGGCTATCTCAGGGATGCAGGGATCCACTGGTGCGATAGTGTGGTGAAAGGGGAAGGTTTCCAAGCAGGTCTTGGCTGTCTCAGGGATGCAGAGCTCCACTGGTGCATCTACAGGCTGGAGGGGGAATCTGGTCCCTTCTTTGCTTTGGTGGATCTCACAGGAGTTCGCTGCTGGACACACACAAGCACCCACACATGGAGGTGCACAGGAGTCGCAGGCAGCCGTGTCCTCGGGCATGGGGACAGCAGGAGGTGGGCAGGCATCCTGGGATGGGGCTGCACCCTCACAAGGACAGGGATCCGTCTGGGAAGCCTTCTCAGGAGGGGCCTGTGTGTCCTGCGCAGGGCAGGCATCCGGGTCTACCGCGGTGCAATGCGATGGGCAAGGGTTGGGGTGTGCAGCCTCCTCCGTGCAGGCAGAAGGAGGCGGGCAGGGCAGCTTGCACTGCTGGGACATCTTCATGCACCGGGCAAGCCTGGAAGAAAAAGAGCAATTTGGTGTCTACTAACCCAAAGCACCAGATCTTGGCTGGGGAATCCTTCAGCAAGATGCGTTCTGTGTGGGCCCCAATTTGGTCGTGAAATAAGGAACAGAGAGAATATTTACTGTCTGCTTTTTCCAGTTCTGCAACTGCTCCTTAGGAAAAGAAGTTGGGTCATTCTGTTTTCCTGTGTAAACTTCCAAACCCAGCTTTTCTTATTAAAATCTGTTCTCAGCCAAAAAAAACCGCACCTCGGCAGCATTTTCTTGTGCAGATAGCAGTGGATTTGGTTAAGATTTTCAGCAGGTTTCTAAACTTCACATTGACTCCCTTTCTTTCCCAGACTTTTTCTCCTTGCCCTGAAACTCCCTTGCAGGACAGCACCCATCTCACAGAGGTGCAGCTATCGCTGTCTGACCTTCCTAAAAGCAGCAACAGGCTCGACAGGTAAAATTAAGGCATAGACGCCTGGGTTTATCACGAGTTTGGGTGCTCTCTTACCTGGGACCGTGGTCACTGCTGTACACGACACTGCAGTCACTTCACTGTGTAGACGGTAACTACGTGCACAGCAGTTTCGGCTCCTGCCCACTGTTTCGGCACTCGGTGAGCAAGAGGGTGTTGTAGTGGTGTTGTAGCCCTCTAAATCCAGTGCTGGGACAGCAGGAAGCATTTTGCAGAGCAGCCATGGGAATCACAGCAAAGTAAGCGCAAAGGAAGAAGGTTGTTACTCGTTTAAACTCTTATCCCCAAGGAGGTGATTTACTGGTAGCACTAATCTATTTCAGCATATAGTAGAAAATTAACACCAGTAATAGGCTTAGATCGGTACAATCCTGAAGAGACTTACCCAGCTCTGGATCGGCGAATAAAGACGGCGAGCAGACACGGCAACTCCAACCTGGGATCTGCCTCGTGTGTTCAAGAGCCTGGCCTCCGGAGATGGGGTGCCCCAGGCACCCAGACAAGCCACTCTCTGCTTACCCGAACCTGCTCCGCCTCTGCCCTCTGATGGGTTATTTGACTAATTATTTTTAATGGAAACTGGCTATTTCCGTGGCTGCAGCATAACCTCGAGTGCGCAAAGATGGCTCGAGAGTTCACGTGTCCCCTCACCGAGGCTGACGTCAAAGAAGAATTTGGGAAATGAATGGACTCCGGGCTTGCTCCCACATAGCCGGCCAGTTGTGGGCCAGTTTTACTGTGCCGGTAAAACAACCTCCAGCCCAACACATCATGCAGGTCATTAGAGACAGGATGGGATGTGGGATCTGGGGGATTCTTGTAATTTTTCGCTGCGTCTGACCTCTTTCTGCCGCTCTCCTGTTGGCCGTGGTGCTGCTGGTTGTGTCTCGGTGTGCTTCTGGAAACTCTTATATCATCGCTGGTCCCGTGATGTTTTGCATTTTCTTCTAAAAGCTCTGACTCAAGCAACATAACACTCCTCCATCGCTGTGATGTTGCCTTTATCCTCATGCAGTTACAGCCCTGAAGAGCAGATGGGCGGTGGTCACTCCTGCCATCTCTTTTCCCTTCAGCCCACTGGTTTACCGAAGCCAGCTGAGTTATACTCGGGGTTAATTCAAATCACTGTGCTTGGAAGAGCACTGGCAACCCAAGCGGTCACACATCCTAAATTTATTTCATTTTAAATAACATTTTTGGGTTTAAATCACCAAAAGCTACTACATTGGATCCTACCATACTCAGCAGCATGAAAGTGCACATTTAAAGGGAGAACAGAGTGCAGACTCAAGAGCCACCTTCATCTTTACATGATGTATGCCCTCATCTCTGCATGCAAATAATACTGGTTCGATGCTTGTGTCACCAAGCGTCTTAAGGCTAATTCGGAGCGAGCAGAGAAGGAAGTTTCAGAGTCTTTGATCTCTCGCAGGCAATGCTCTTGTTGGCTCTCCCTTCTCTTATAAAGAGGGAGTTTCAGACGAGAACATCTTTACTTGGCTGCAGTTGTAGTAGGCGGAAAGCGGTGACTCCGTGCTGGGGTCGTAACCATTTGCTGTCTTTCATGAACAGCCTATCTCAGTTTTGGTTTAGTCTTCTCTATGATAGATATGTGCATAGCAAGCCAAAAAGGACCACTACCAAGGACACCATGGTCAGAGCACCATGGTTAATCACTCTGGAGCATCACTGCAGAGAGACCGGTCACTGAAGGAGTCCTGGAAGGAGCAAAAGTGCCACTGAGGATCTTAATGCAGTGTGAAGCCCTCCCTGGCTGCCAAAATCATAACAAATTTTGGTTATCCTGGAATACTGCACTTGGTTGTCTAGCAGAGATGTTATGAAGCTGCCCAGAAAACCTGGGTGCTCCCATGCACTCTCCAGAGAGCTCTCCTTTTTCTGCCATGTGTGAGACCGTGCCTGGATGCTGGGTCCAATTTAGGGCCCACAGTGCAAGGAAGTCTCCAACTGGAGTGAGTCCAGTGGAGATCACCATGATGGTCCGGGGGCCTTGAGCAGAGGATGGATGGGGAGAGGCCGAAGGACCTGCTCACCCCGGAGAGGAAAAGACTTAGGGGAGGTCCTGGGGCCCCTTTCAGCTGCCTGAAAGATATTAATGGAGAAGAAAGGCTCTTCTCAGAGGTGTCCAGACAGGTTGAGAGGTGATGACTGCAGCTTGCAACAAGGCAACTGGTGACCAGTTTATCAGGAATGAAGTTTTCGGTAGGAGGGTTATTGTGCACGAGCAAACTCGCACGGCAGAGCAGAACAAAGCTGCACGAGGCCAAACTCCATAGGAAATGAAGACTATGTTTTAGGGGACGGAAGTGATCCCAGTCGGCACGGCTGACTCAGGAGAAGGTGCAAGAAACCGGACCAAAGTAACTCCTATCAAAACAAAGTTCGATCCCAAGGGGGATTGTTTCCAGGCTGTATCATCACTGCTTTGTTCCCCATCCCCTGTAGGAAATACGTGGATCAGGAATTCAAGCTTGCAGGCAGCAGTCATGGTGTCGCATGTACCACCTCAGCAGCCGGGTTTCATTAAGAATTATAATGTAAGCAAGTAATTTAAGGATTGGAGGTGGAGCAGGTTTAGATTATTAAAAATTTTGTTTCCATACCCCTGAGGTGTCTCACTTCCGCAGACGCGGACACTGAAATCGTATAAAAGGATTCATATTGTAGTGTTTTTCAAACCATTTTGGTTTCATTTCCTAGTTGCTGGTGGTGAATTGGGTAAGTCTCTCTTGGCTTAGTGGGAAGTATTGGAGTGGCCGGGGTTATTTAATTTTTAAGTATTTTCTGCAGAAGCAAGTGAGAAGATTTAGGAGTGCTTCTGCTTAGTGAGATTTGGTTATGGGACTTATCCAGCAGCTGAGCTAAGGGTAAATACTCATTCCACCTTCTACCGGGCTTTATTTGCTGTGTGGTTTGCAACTGCTGTGCTTTCTCCATTGAGATGTCTCGGCGTAGCTGAGAGAGGACCAACCTCTCTCTTTCCCCAGCGACACTGCTGCCCTGTTTTAACCAGGAAATTATTGGGTTTGGGAGAGATCAAAAGGCAAGGCTGGGACTTCAAAGAGAGAAAGTGGGAGGGAAGATAAGAAGTGGAGACTCGTAGGCTGCAAGGGTGAGCAATGCCTGGGAGGAAGCTGGGATGAGAGGAGCTGGGAGGACTTCAGTGGGAGAGGTGGGAGAGCCGCTGTGCTCGGGGCGCCAGAGCTTTTCCTTGGGGACATTTCCAACACGAAGCCTCCACTCGTCCCCAGTTGAGGACCTGCGTGGGGACGGGGCACTGTCAGAAGCCTGGCAGTCTCCTTTTTGGGTGGAAATAGGGAAGTAACGTCAGAGTTTAATCCCAAACCAAGAGGAGCTGTGGACAGGTGGGGCTGTTGTAACTTCACACCCTGCAGTGTAATCCAGCCGAGTCCAAAACCACCAGTTTTCTTTCCTGTTTTGGGAAGAAGTTTGAAATGCAAATGCGGCCAGTAGCTACCAACTTGTCTAACATGCTTTGATGTGGAGTTAGTGCCCTGCTATGGTTTTCAGTCTGTTTTCCCAGTATATTGTTAAGTATTCCACTGGAAAAAGTATCGCTTAACTCAGTGTGGAAAATGGGCTTGTGAAAGCTGAATGTCTCTCTTTTCCACTAAGTGTGTTCCTTTCCTGCTTTCAGACGTTACATTTCCCTCAAAGATGCGTTGCCAAAATGATTGCCAAATCAGACAGCTCTGCCTTCCGCCTCCCACCGTCTTGGTGAGGAGTTTTCCTGTGAGAAAACACGTGGATCCCTGTGGCATCGTCCGTGACATCCGGTGCTTGTCCCAGGGTCTGGGTCCCTGCTGCTATGCTAGGATTCCTCAGGGCACCACCACTTACGTGAACCTGGCCAACCTTGGTGCCGCACAGGCTGCTGGGTGCCTGGATCCCTGCTGCCTTGCTGCCGCCGCCTGCGCGCCTCAGTGCTGCCAGGACGTGACCAAGTGCATCACCACGTGTGATCCCTGCTGCCAGGATGTGACCAAGTGTGTCACCACGTGTGATCCCTGCTGCCAGGACGTGACCAAGTGTGTCACCACGTGTGATCCCTGCTGCCAGGACGTGACCAAGTGCACCACTACGTGTGATCCCTGCTGTCAGGACGTGACCAAGTGCACCACTACGTGTGATCCCTGTTGCCAGGATGTGACTAAGTGCGTCACCAGATGTCAAGATCCATGCTGTACTGAGGTGACCAAGTGCACCACCACGTGTGTAGATCCCTGCTGTGGCAGAGTGACCAAGTGCACCACCAGATGCGTAGATCCATGCTGTAGACCTGTGACCAAGTGCACCACAACGTGTGTGGATCCCTGTTGCCGGGACGTGACCAAGTGTGTCACCACATGCGTGGATCCCTGCTGTCAGGACGTGACCAAGTGTGTCACCACGTGTGATCCCTGTTGCCAGGACCTGACCAAGTGCATCACCACATGCGTGGATCCCTGCTGTCAGGATGTGACCAAGTGCACCGCTACGTGTGATCCCTGTTGCCAGGATGTGACTAAGTGCGTCACCAGATGTCAAGATCCATGCTGTACTGAGGTCACTAAGTGCACCACCACGTGTGTGGATCCCTGCTGTGGCAGAGTGACCAAGTGCACCACCAGATGTGTAGATCCATGCTGTAGACCTGTGACCAAGTGCACCACCACATGCGTTGATCCGTGTTGTGGGGAGGTGACCAAGTGCACCACCAGGTGTGTGGATCCCTGCTGCCAGGATGTGACCAAGTGCACCACAACATGTGTGGATCCCTGTTGCCAAGGGGTAACCAAGTGCACCACTAAGTGTGTGGATCCCTGCTGTAGACCTGTGACCAAGTGCACCACCACGTGCGTTGATCCGTGTTGTGGGGAAGTGACCAAGTGCACCACCACGTGCGTTGATCCGTGTTGTGGGGAAGTGACCAAGTGCACCACCACGTGCGTTGATCCGTGTTGTGGGGAAGTGACCAAGTGCACCACCACGTGCGTTGATCCGTGTTGTGGGGAAGTGACCAAGTGCACCACCAGGTGTGTGGATCCCTGCTGTGGACCTGTGACCAGGTGCACCACCACATGCATTGATCCGTGCTGTGGGGAAGTTACCAGGTGTGTGGATCCCTGCTGTGGACCTG